TATGCAAAACAGCAGTCCCAAACAACAATATATCACCGAATTAGCAAAATAATTTCTGTCATCAAACAGGTGCATCCCCTGATTTAAAATTCAAATGACTCTTCACCAGCAACACCCATCCACATGTAAAGATGGTAAAACCGCTGTCTACACATGTCCTCTCCTTTTCAGTCACCTTGCGTAAACCCATCTGTGGGAAAACTCTTCCTTTTACTCCCTCCGAAGACACGGAAACATCACATTAGACCTCTACAGCAGCCGAAAGAAAAATTACCTCATCTATTCTTCCAGAGTGTACAGTCACTATCACTTTTAATGACCGTCGGCGGAATATTGTTGTGGGTAATGTCCTAGGAAGCGCATGCTGTTCATGTCGTTTTTTATGGCGTTGATGGTTCAGATTTACTTTCACATAGTTTAGTGACCGGCGATTTCCGATATACCACTTTTGCCCCCATATACGCGGAAGCACCGGAGTTCAAGTGTTCCTAACCTCAAAAATAATCAAATGTCAAAAAGAATGGCGCAACTGGTTCGATGATCGGACGCTGCAGCGTTGTGAAACGCCGAGATTGAAGAAATACACTAGTATTTAGAGCGTAACCGTAATGAGAATCTATATAATAAATAATTGCGCAACTGATGTACTGGTTTGAGATGGGTAATTGGTGTATTCCTCGGATTTATGGATGCTAACACGGCACGTACTTACATTGACTCATTTCGACTAAAAGAGACTGTAAACACTGAAATAGTCGAGATTACTAAATTAAAGAAACATGAGTAGCTACTATCGCTCGCCTACCTACATTTGTCATTCGAATTTAATGAAGTTATGCATAACCACTTGGTTAAACAGTGTCATAATCATTATCATAATCTGAAACAATTTGCACAATGAGCTATTCTAATTAATTAGAAGAAACCAGTGTCCCAATTACGTAACTCAGCTCATATGCATTTTAATTCTTGTCGTACTAATTTATCTCACCATTCATCTTTCTTCAACACAAACTGTTGTAATCATCAGTCGTAAAACAACTTTACTAGGTTCGATGATGATAAGTGAGTGCAAACGGATATAAATTTAATTACACAAACTTTCACTTATAACTGTGTAAAAATTAAAATTCAAATTTTATCAGCGTGAGGCGGGAAATTCGAACCCTCGGCTCCACTCGTGACAATTCGGTGATAAGCAGCGCCTCGGCGTCTGGAATAAAAATTAATGATTAATGCGGTTTTATCATTTCAACATGTCTCTGCAACTGGCACCTAATGCACGTTAATAGCGTAATCAGAAGTACATTTGTTCTTGTAATGTTGTCTTAGAAACTTCAATTACGGTTAAGTGGAAAGCACAGAAACAATTAATATAATTGATAAAGTAAAGTATGATTGTTTCCCCATTTCGTGAGTAAAAATGTAAACATTTGTTTATGTCATAGCAATAAATTATTAGATTACTGCAACATGTTGGCTGCAAGGTGCAAATAATATTGACATACTTTTGCTTTAGTAATGAATTGACACAGTGTGGGGTAAATCTGGCGGGTAAGATGTATTACATTTCCAGTATACAAAGCACGTCGAAAGTTTTGAACTGCTGATTTCTATGATTAATGATCAGTTTAACAAAAAATGCTGAAAGTCGATCATAAATGCTATTTATTTATTGTTACAAAGTGTTGTTAGATTTTCGTTGATTTTTTTTTAATTTTTGATTTGGTTTGTAATACGCGGCTTTCATAAATACATCCAAGTGGGCACAGATTTGTTCCGCCTCTTTGAAAGTGAGTAACTACAATGGTAACTTCTAACCATCTCCATAACAACGAAAGTTCAACTGTCCTTATTACTGTGACAGATAATATACTAACCACATTAATTATAACTGTAAAATAGTCTATTAGCCAATAACACGTGACGTCACGCTGTGGCGGGAACTCAGCGTTTGACAAGCGCCGTGAAACTCCATAAGTGACAATGTTAACATTTTCGCATTTTATTTAAAAGTGTGGGTATTTATCTAGAAAATAAACACGTGAATAGCTTCTTTCATATCTTTTCTGTGTATCAGGGTGCTTTTTTTGGCGATTTGAGTTTAAAAATACATAATAAAAATAAAAATACAGAACGCTGTTTTGGTCTGAATTCCTCGTCACCCAAAATACATCCGTGTGTTTTAAGCGGTAAATCGGATATTAATATTTTCGTTTGAGGTTAATTTGACGGGTTTAATTAGTGAAGATGTGTGATTTATTTTTAAACTATGGATAATTGAAGTGATTATGCACGATGTCTTTCCGTCAAAGAGAAAAACAGATACGTACAAAAGTTAAACAATTTAAACGGCGTAGATCCTTATATAATGAGTGCAAGTGATTTTAATTTGTGTTTAGACGATGTCCCTACCATAACAATGAATACCATTCTAAACTTTTTTATTTTTGGAATAAGTAAAATAACCCACAATGAAATTCGTGCATTCAAAAGTCTAGAGGCATTTATTCAGTTTTCTCTTTTTTAAACGACTGTGTCTTTCAACATTACAAGTATTATTAGTGGATTTATTTTGATATCCTAAATTTTGTGATGGAACATAATCAGGGTGGTCCACATTCGACAAATCTGCAGGTTTACCTAAAAGAGCACCAATGTAGTAATTTATTAGGAAACTGTAAATCTAATAGGTAGTTACTGTACCTAAAATAAAATGATCCGAACAAATATAGGAATACTTTACTTTGGCTTCGTTAAATTCACTCGTTTCAAGGCTTTTAACCAAAGCTTCCGCCTTTTTTCCCCATCCTGTATATATTTACCTTTATTGTTGCTAATTGCTGGGAAAGGAAAATAAAATTTGTCCGCATTTCTGGAGCTTCGATTCGCGCAACCCACAACAGCACAAAATTTAGGCATTTTCTCCTAAAATACAAAATATTATAATATTAAGATGTTAGTGTATTTAAAAAACATTGATGTACATTAACACAGAATTAATTTGCAAAACAAATAATATAAGATGCAGCGAAGTTAACTTGTACATCACATTGGAAAACATTATTTTTTAAGGATATTCAAACGTTATGGTGCGTTTTACAGATATCTACACAGTCTAGAAACTGTAACAAACTTACCAAACTATAAAAACACAGTTGACACATTCTCAAATTTAAATGAATTCCGAAAATATTAGCATTGACTCTTATGAGAAAACCGGCTAGTTGTCAAACGCTGCCATCTTGATGACCTCGGATGACGTCAGTGTATTTGGCTAATTATTACTAACCAGTGGCAAATCCGCAACATTTTTACATTGGACAGGTCACATCGTCTGTTTGCTGACTTTGTATGAGAAACTCATTTTAAATATCACACCACAAACTACAAAAATTGCTAGATTATTCTGAAATTTTAAAAGTTATTGTGTGTTCATCCCCCAAAATATTAATTAAGTTGCAAAATAATGTAAATTTCACTTTATATAACTTTATAATTTTACGTACAATGACTGTTCAAACAAAAATTAAGTTCGGACCTTTAAGTTTCGCAGTTTATCTCATAATAAACAAAACACTATTCGACACTTTGGTAAAATATCTAAAGTTAATTATTAAAAAAATGGTCTATCCTGCTTCTTTGAAAAATTATAAAATTTGATTAAAGTTAAAAAAATATAGTGTGCATCAATAAGTATTGCATAAATATTTATGTAAAGGAAAGTAATTGTAACAAAAATCAAGCGGATTCATAAATCACAAATATTTACAGGACTATGTTATTTAATAAAGTTTAAATAGTTTTTATAAAATGTTGAGGTGACATCAGATCAATTTTAGTTAGCGTTTTATCAACTACAATATATTCCTAACATACATTTAAAATTTGACAACAATTGGTCTAGTAGTTTCGGAGATCATCAGTCCAATAAAAATCGCCATAGACAGACCACATACAAACACATAATGGAAATGGGAAATCTATTTGTTTATCCTCTAAGGGCCTTGAAACGTCTAAAAGACATTAAAGTAGCCATTCGCCGAGTGGACCTTATTAGCTAACAATGTGATAATTTTACCTCAAAATTTTGTACAGTAAATGTTGTTTAAATTCCTAAATTAACATTTTTTTATACTCGTGGTTTATGAATCCGCGATTATTTTTTACCGTATACCTCCAGATTTGTTTTGAAGTTTACTTTATGAAGGATGAAGGTCCTACTTTCTGAATGACGACCGTCGTATTTTGTAAATTCAGTGTTCAGAATTTACTTAATATAAAATTTGGACGCTATAGTCTGTGAGCGAACAACACCTTAAAAGGGAGGTAAAGTAGATTTCAACAAAAGGAAAATAATGCAAACAAACGTTATAGAAAGTTTGTAAATTCTGAGAGCCATGCTTTTAATTTAGAATTACTTACAGCAATTACTTCTAAAGCAGTTTATTTTGTTGATTAAATAAAGAACGGTTCAGGTTTCCATTTTTCTGAAATTTTGAAACTACAGTAGGGGAGACCGGGGCTAGTTGGCTACAGGGGTAAGTTGACTCGGTGGCAATAATTAACAAACATCGTAACAGAATTCTTTTAAAATTGCACTGTGTCATGCTGACATCTGCTTCCAACTGTATAAAACTCTATAGCATCGTAGAGTCGGTAAGTTAGAAAACACAGCAACTTCTTTGTGTTTGTAGTCAGTGAGTAAATTTCGTCTTCCTTAGAAAAGTTGCTAAATTTTAAGATCTAACGGTATTTGTTTAAATAATTTTAATCAGGTAAGTAGTTCAAAGTGTTCTCAATGTGATACATTGATACAGTATGCAATAATTTTTCAATTGTTGCTGTAAATTAGTCTTCAATGTAGTAAATACTCCAGGGGTTAGTTGGCTAAGTCATTAAGGGGCTAGTTGACTCATTGAGCCAAGTTATCCCAGGAGGTTTAAAACATAGTCAGGTTTAAAAAACCTTGTTGAAGTGAACATCTTTGATTGGCAGACATGCGTAACTACAAAAGAAAGACACAACGAGCAAATGTTCCACCGGATATTGTAGCACAAGCCGTAAAAATAATCAAAAATGAGAAACGATCAATTAGAAGTGTAGCAAAAGACTTTGATATTCCTCCTAGAACATTAACAAGGTACTGCAAACAAGCCACACTAGGTCACGTTCTTCAGCCTGGTTATAAAAAAGTTAGACAGGTAAGAAATTTTTTAAACACCTAGGTAGGCATATACATACATACATACCTACCCACTCTTCTGCTTCTACAGGTGTTCAGTTTAGAACAAGAAAATAACTTGAAAAAATACTTGCAAAAAGCGTCGGATATTTATTATGGACTCACTCCAAAAGAAGTTCGACAGTTTGCCTTCCAATATGCAACTGCGTTAAAAATAAAAATACCTGAATCTTGGAAAACAAATAAATTAGCAGGAGAAGACTGGCTCTCCGGGTATTTGAAAAGAAATGTGGAGCTTAGCATAAGAAAACCAGAGGCTACCAGCTTGGCAAGAGCTTCAAATTTTAATAGAACAAATGTTAACCGATTTTTAGAAAATTTAAAGACAGTGCTAGATCGTCTTAAGCTTGAGTCCGGGGATATATGGAACATGGACGAGACGGGAATAACGACTGTGCAAAAACCGGACAGAGTGATTGGCCGGCGTGGGTATAAACAAATTGGAAAGATTGTCTCGGCTGAACGAGGAACGTTAGTGACATTGGCTTTAGCAGTTTCCGCAACGGGAAATTCTATTCCACCTTTTTTTATTTTCCCTCGAGTACACTTTAGAGATCACTTTTTAAGAAATGCACCACCAAGCAGTGCAGGAAGTGCAAATCCGTCAGGCTGGATGAACGCCGAACATTTTTTTGCTTTTGTTAAACATTTTGTTAAACATTCAAAAACATCTAGGGAAAGGCCTTCCCTGCTTATATTGGATAACCACGACTCACATCTGTCCATAGATGCTTTAAATTATTGCAAAGAAAATGGAGTCACGGTTTTATCCTTTCCACCTCACTGTAGCCATAAACTACAACCATTAGACAGAAGTGTTTATGGGCCGTTAAAGAAATATGTGAATTCTTCTTGCGATGCATGGATGACCAATCACCCTGGCCATACGATGACTATTTATGACATTCCTGAAATTGTAAACTCTTGTTTGCCTCTTGCTGCTTCTCCTGCTAACATAAAAGCCGGATTTGCAGTAACAGGAATTTTTCCATATAATGCGCATGTGTTTCAAGATGAAGAGTATATGCCTGGATATGTCACAGACAGACCGAACCCAGAAAATGTTCAAGATGTTCCAGCTAACGTGACCATTGAAGAAGATCCAGCTGAAATAAACTTTAGCGAGCCACAACCTGGTCCCTCATCTCGCAGATCTCCATCGAATACCCCCCCACCTCCTACACCAGAAAATATACGACCGCTACCAAAAGCAGCACCAGAAAAGCTAAAAAGTACTAGCAGAAAAAGACGAGTAACAGCCATATTAACAGATACGCAAATTAAAGACACATTAGAAGAAGAGCAGAAAAACAAAAGGAAAAAAAACAATAGTGGAGCCAAAGAAAAAGGAATAAAGAGAAATGTCTTTCAAAAAAAAAAAAAATGAAAAGCGTTAACACTAAGAAGCATATAGTTGCTGACGAGGAAACTGATTCCGATGAAGAAGATACTTTCTGTCTTGTATGTTTAGATAGGTTTTCTAACAGCGCTTCAAAAGAGAAATGGATCCAGTGTACTGAATGCTATATGTGGGCTCATGAAAAGTGCACCGATGGTGATAATCATTATGTGTGCCATAATTGCACATCTGACGAAGATTGACATTTTCAGTCAGTAAATTAGAAAAAAATTTGTGTTTTGCTGTTTTTGCTTTTTTTACCAAAGAATAAACCTTGGTTTTTGTTTTATCTATTAATAAATTTTCTGTGACTTAATTATCTGTCAATTTAGTCATATGCCAACATGCCTCTTAACATGCGCCTACTTGCCCCGACAATGGGGTAATTTGGCGCAATTGCAAGGCGTTTTAAAAAAAATCAAAACAAATTTTTACATAAATGTAGACGTGGTTTAGCAGTGTCTAAATGTTGCTGGATCTTCCACCTTTCTTCTAACACTGATAAACCTTCCATAAATGGTTTCAAAACGGAAATAAAAGATCTAAAGTAAAAAGTGCGCCAACTAACCCCGGTCTCCCCTACTGATATTATAAACATTACACCGCACCTAGATCTCTTTACAAAATTTTGTTATAGAAAAACTCAGTGGAAATACAAGCATAGTATGATTCGTTACTTGTAGTTTAACAGTTCACAGATATTTTATTTTAACATATAGGAGCTGTCATAAAAAATTAAATTCTCAAAATCAAATTTATCGAAAAAGCTGGATACGTTGTATTGTACTTTAGGGGTGAGGGAAGATCTATTTAATACTGTTACGAAATAAACCCATACCCCGCCCCGGTACGACGCCTATGGGTTCTAGTTATGTAGGTCGCCGATGACTCATTATCGCTGACGGCGGTCGGAGAAGAGCTTGGAAGTGGAAGTCGCGAATGGGTGCCCCACCGAAGTCTACAAGCGGTGACGTAGGCGTTTCGAGAAGGACCGCGTGCTGTTTAAATGAGAACCTCCGTCTGGAGCAGTTAGGGTAATCCAGACAATGGGAGAAGTCTAGTCAAATCCATTATTCAGTCAATCGAGTCCACGAGAATACGTCAAGTTGCGCCGGAATTATTTTCTACATAATCACTGTGTAATAATAATAATAATCAGTCTTGTAATTCGAGTTATTAAGAAATACATTGTTGCGTTTTACCCACGCCGATTTTAATCACTCGTACATCGTAAAAATACCTTAGACCAATTTTTCAAACATAAAACCCTATCATTTTCAAACTTGTCTGAAATTAATAATTAAGCTTTCTTTAGTACCAGTAACTAATAATATTTTCAAAAAAACGATTATAACCCCAAATATAAGTATGTGACATTTTAAATATAAATAAATTTTACTTTGAGATAAGTTCGAAATTTCACCTCAAATTCCAAGATATCACATTTGAATAATATGATAAAAGTGACAGTTTATAAATTTAATCATCCTGTAGAAAAAATACAAATCTGTAAAAATATAGGTACAGGCTTTCTATTTAAAAAGTACAACTTACGTATCACCTTGTATGTTTGAAAATATTTCTAACCTTTAGCCCTAAAGACGTCAAAGAGTGTTTTCAATAGTAGACGATATTCTTATTATTACTACTACAAATGCGTTGTTTTCCGCAACCAGGCAGTTGAAACACTCTGTATATTGTTTTTTGAAAAAATATTTTTTAAACATAAGCTGAGAAAGTATGATAATAGGGTACATCCGAGGATTGGCTGCTTTCATGTTTTTTCGACATTTCATGACCCCTAGAGTACGGAAAAATAGGTCTTCCGTTTCGGTCTGCCTGTCTGTCGCCTGTGTCAATTTTAATTGCACAGATAATTTTCGGAACTACCGGACCGATTATTATTTGTCTAATCATTCCTTCTCATCAATGTGATGACGTCCCCTCAAAATGTTTCATATCAAATACTATTTAATTTGTACTCCTATAAAATAGCAGACTTCTGTACTGTATATGAATTCGCCTTGAAGACTGTGAATTTTTCTGAATGTTTGACATCAGGTGCCAGGGAAATTCTGTCTAAATAAATTTGGACCATTTTTTTTTAGGTCTAGTGTGTTTTGTATTTTCTAGTTAGTTATAACATTAACATCAACTTATTTAGTGTATAAAAGAAAACATACTGTGTATTGTATATGTATATTAATAAATTTAATAAAATCTTTTACTAAAAAAACTATATGGCGATAAGACTCCTAAAACAAAAAATCTATTTAAATATGCGTATATCATATAGGCGCTCTGATTATTTTTCATCTTTTCACAATTTGACAATTTTGTTATTTTCTTGTGTTTTTACTTGCTGAGCGTAAGCGAAACATTTTCTCGACTTTTCATGACCCTTGGAGTACGAATAAATAGGTCTCCCGTTTCCGTCGGTCTGTTCGTCTGTCCTTCTATCCGTCTGTCTGTCTGCCGTCCCGGATTTTTATTAGACAGATAATCTCCGAAAGTACTGGGCCGATTGTTATCAATTTTTTTATTTCTGTTAGGAATATCATGTAGATGGTAAAACGCTAACCATAATTTGTCTAATCATCCCCACCAATAATGTGATAAAGTATGAAAACTTAGATAGTATGTGGGTTTTAAATTGTATAAAATAATGTAGTCCTACACATGTAATTTATGACTCGGCATTGAGTTTTTACCCGAAAGGTCCAGATCAAAATCAAAATCATAAAACAACATTTTGCAATATAATTTTGAATCTCAATTTACTCAGGAACTACAAAACCGAATGCTTTGAAACCTTGCAGATGTTTTAAAGTTATGATAAGCATGGTAAATTTTTGATCAAAATGTATTTGCTCATCGCCCCTAAAAAATTGATGACGACGTCACCTCAAAATTTTCTTGAGTAAATCCTATCTTAAATGTGCAAAATATGATGACTCTATACTTATAATTTATCACTCCATTAATATTTTTTAGATTTGCTTATACAGAGTGACTCAAAAAAATTATTGGAATAGCCAAATTATTTTATTGAATTAATCAAGAATTGCAAAACTGAATACTTTGTAATGCTGCAGACATTTTAAAATTATTGTAAGCAGGGTAAATTGGTAATCAAAATATATCTGTTTATTGCCCCCAAAAAATTGATGACGTTATCTCAAAATTTTACCGAATAAATTCTACCCAAAATGTGCAAAATATGATGAGTTTGTGATTCATCACTTCATTCATATTTTTTATTGATCAAATTAAGAACGAGTCACCCCATTTTCCCGAAAATGTGAAAATACAAACGTCTCTATTTAACAAAAAATTATAATAATGATTTTCATGACACTTTGTCGATTGTAGCCTACTACTAGTTTTGATCCTCTGTTTTGAGGGGACGAACTCATTCAAATGAAACTAATTTCTGCGTGACATTCTTCCGATATAAAAACATAAACACTTTCAAGTTATTTTTCTTGTCGAGGATAAGCTAAGGACGTACAGTAATTGTCCATCTGGCAATTTGGTACTTTCATATTTTCTCGATATTCCATAACCCCTAGACAAGGCCGTAGCTAGGAGGAGTCTAGAAGATGCTAAGGCTCCCCTAGATCTAGACAAGTTATAATTAACCAAATATAAATTACAACATCGAAAATCAAAATAAAATGTAGTGTTTTATTCAATAAGCGGGAAGTCAGAGCAATAAGAAAGTCTGGACCGTTGGCATTGTGATCTGGTTATTGCAGTTCGTAGAAAACATCTTTTAGTTTAGTTTCTGTTTCACTCTCACGTCTACAGATTGATAAGTGTTATCACTATTTGTCTTAAATTATGAGTACCATAAATGATTTTCAGTTCAATCTTCAGTCGCACCTAACATTAGATACTTACATATTTTTATTTTAGCTTATAATGGTTGCCATAAAAAACAATAAAATTCGCAAAATCAAATCTTTTAACTTTTCTGGATTTGGCAAGCTGTACTTTATGGGTGAGGGAAGTTCTGTAGAAGTAATCTTTGACCAATTTTTTAATATATTTTGTATTTTCCTATCCTCTTGTGTTGAAGTTTGACGTTTTAAAAAGCGATTTTATGTTTTTTCTTTATTTAGGTACTACTAATATCTTCATTATTCTGTTGTTGCTACAATTTTCTTATTCAGTTCTTTGAAACTGAACATAATTTTGAAAGTGTACGATATGAGAAGCAAAAAACTTAACCTCAGTTTTAGTTTAACAAATTTGTCGTTAAAAATTTGTCACATTCATCGAGTTAAATAAATTAAGAACTGATTATATTGAAAACTGTGTTTTACATTTTTTTCTAATCTCTAAAGAACTTCTATGTGTACAATTTAAGTTCTGTTTTTTAAAGAGTCTTTTCGTACATTGTTGATAATTTGAGACAGTAAATTCAGTATCAGAATCTTCGTCTTTTCGCACTTTTAGGTCAAGGATTTTTTTTCTAAAACTCTTACACAGTACATGTTTTTTATCCTAATCTTTGAGATTTTGTAATTATTAGATATTTGTAGGTATGCATCGAGTACATATTTATAAAAATAATAATTTCTGTTAACATTTACAGCTTAACCCTTCGATTGTTCAAACTGGAATCCCAAACTGAAAAGAACTAAAAACCTTAATCGAAAATTGATTAACCCATTTTAGGTGCATTCCAGCAAACGTCTTAATAACCATCATCGTAAATCTCATACCTAATAAAATTGACACCAACGCTTCTAGCTTCTGCTAATAGATTAAGATTAGATATTTGCTTCACGACCATAAACATGTTCGACACGAAAACTGATTTAAAACGCTCGTTCTCATGCAAATTTCCATAATACATATGTTTAAATATGGAAAGAAGCGATGCAAATTCACAAGATTTCGCACTTTCAAGCAAATACATTTAACACTCCGTACTAAAGTGTCTCAACTATTCCGACTTTGAGTATCAATCTGCAAATAATCATACAGCATCGTCAAAATAACCGTCTTGCGTAAATTTATTTACGAATTACGACAAACCTTAGAGAAATTTATCCTCACCGCGGAAAGAAAGTTCGGAAGTATGTGTAAAATTTGCATACCAAACGATTAACAATCATTGAGTGTCAGTTAGACAATTTTGGAATTCTTCCCCGATCATGACTCTATTAGACCATCCGCTCTCCGTATTTACCAAATCCCGTGATTGATGGCACCAGCGTTGACTTTCGCAAATCCGCCGTTAATGTTAATCAGGAACTGCACTCCATTATAATAAAACAATCTCTTTGTCCACTCCAGTTCCCAAAAAAGATTAACATGATTGATGGTTTGAAGTACCAGGGAAGAAATTAAAACGAGAAAGTGACGGTCGATCTAATCAGAGGTACTTACGGTTTTATTTGGCTGCAATTAGGGGAGTGTGGGAAAGAATGTGTTAATTCGCTGGTGTAATTGTTACATATTGGTTACGGCGTTCAGGTACGCCCATTTCCTGTGGTCTGAGGCGCCGCGTTTCCGTTGGAAAAAATGGTACCGAAGGTACGACTGACATAATCAGACTGATGTAACGGTTTTTTCAGAGGGTTTGAGGTTTCTTTGTTTTAGGACAAAAGTTACGCACTGAAAGGTACTACGGAGGAATATTATCTAGTTAAGTTGAACGCCGGAAGTCGTAAATAGACGTCTTGTTGGGGTACTAAATGTTAATCTGTATCTTTGTTTTTATTATAATGTTAAGTACGCTTTCCAGTGAGACTTTCTGGAGTAGAATGGGAAAAGGAAAGTAGGTGCCGGACCTGTATTTTAAAATGTACAAGTAATATTATTTATTGTGGGTGATTTTAGTAGTACAATTCCAGAATTAAAGTAAGTGTACGTGTAATTTACTACAGTATTTACATAATTTTGATTTCATAGGCAATAACTAATAATAGTCTGTGTAAATTTTATGTCAATTGAATTAATTGACCCGAGCATCAGTGCGTACTCACAGTGCTTGAAGATTGTGGATAAGGTCAAATTTTGCAAATTATGTGTGTACAAGATGTAAATAAAAATATATGTAAGTGAAACTTACATTCTTGAAAATTTACGTAAAACTTCTTCTGTAAATTTGACATCTTGCTATCACAATGTCAACAATTTATAATTAATTGTTACTGAGGCGGAGAAATAAGCTAATAAGCGGCCGACATTTTTTTTTACAACAAATTATTTTAGCAAAAAGTAAAAGTTGAAAGAGGCAACATTTGCACAGGCTGTTCCAAAGTTCTAGTAACGGAAATTTATCGTAAACTATTGAAACAATTCTTTGACGCAGTCTAAAAGATCTCATTTAGGCTTATAATTTTTTTTTGTGAAACATCCTGTAGAATTTTACAAATTCATATTTATTTATGAAAGAGACAAACATTTTTTGACCAAGATTTTTCAAGAAAAAAAGAGGAAAATATGGTCATATTTAAAAATTCATAGCTGTATTATGTGAAAAAATACATAACAAAAATGTGTCGTTCTTGGAGTGAGCTGTTCTTGATTCATTCATTTTTTTGAGTCACTCGGTACAAGCAATTCTAAAAAATATGAATGCAATGATAAATCACAAGTATAGATTCATTATATTTTGGGCATTTTCGTTGGGATTTATTCGGCAAAATTTTGAGATGACGTCATTATTTTTGGGGGGGATAAGAAGAGATATTTTGATCAAAAAGTTTCCATGTTTACAAAAATCTGGATGTCTAAAAACTCAAGACGGATTCATAAACTACACATACCAGAGTATGTTATTTTATACAGTTTAAAACTCATTATTATGTTCAATTTTGAGGAGACGTCATTACAATGTTTGTGGGGATGATTAGACTTTTTACCATACATGATATTCATGATATAGTAAAGTAGTAGTTTCGGAGATTATTTGTCTAATAAAAATCCGAACAGACGGCAGACAGACGGACAGACAGACAGACAGACGGAAACGGGGATAGATTTTTTTCGTACTCTAGGGGCTATGACCCATTGGGAAAAAGTGAAAATAGCTAGTCGCCAATGGACCCCAAAAAAAAACTACTAGGTTAAACCTCAGTAAATTTAGTATCGCAAGAAAATTTACCTAGAGATGAACCCGAAAATTTTTCAAAATACATAATAGTCTTCTAGTTGAAAAATATCAAAACACTGACATTTTGAAAATTTAATCACATTGTACACTCCTCAAAAATTTAGATCACTGTAGCATACAACAACATACATACAACTTAACTAACACAGCAAAATATAACACTAAAAGAAAATTTATTGTAACTATTTTAAACACAAGTAACTTGTGGTAAGGTTTAAGAAGAAGATCGCATAAAGTATTTATTTATTTATTTTTTGACTTTAAAAATTTAAATTTGGTCCATATGTTTTGGATAGAAATATACAGTTAAGAGTGCTTGCAGATTTTTACTTTTCGAGTGATAAAACTATGGGAAGTACTATAATAGACACTATACTACTACTTTAATAGATAATTTCGAACAACGTTTAATTTCTTGGTGTCTCATAGCTTCTAGAATACAAAGAAAATGCACACTTTCCATTTCCGATTTCCGCTCTACTGAATTTTTACTTCCCGAGCGTAAGCGAACGAATCATTGTCATAGGGTCCATCTAGCGACTGACTACTTTCATGTTTTCCCCGCGTTTCATGATCGCTAAAGTACAAAAAAAAATGGTTCCGGTTTTCCTTTGTGTGTCGTCTGTCTGTCGTCGTGCCGTTTTTTTTTAGAGAGACAGTCTTCGAAACTACCGAACCGATTGTTGTCAAATTTTATATGAATGTTAGGAATATTGTGTAGATGGTACTGTGGTTTATATATCCGTGTTGAGTTTTTGCTTTAGAAATACACATTCATAGGAAAAAAATAAAAATTGTACAACAATGTTGTGCAATTTAACTTTGAAACTGCAAAACCAAATACTGTGAATCTTGCAAACGTTTCAAAATTAACATAAGCACGAGAAATCGTTAATCACAATTTATTCATTTATCCTTTCCCAAAAAGACTGATAAAATCTTTTCAAAAATGTTGACGAGTAGATCTTATCCAAAATGTGCAAAATATTTAGTTTATCAATGCATTCATACTTTTTAAAATTACTTATACAGGATGATTAGAAAAAAAATATGAATGAGGCAGTCTATTTTATTGATCAAATCAAGAACTGCCCACACCGTTTTCTTGAAAATTTGAGTATACAGTACTTTTATTATTAGTATTACATCCACCTATTCAAAGCGATCCTCGTGTTCTTGCTAAAATATTGATGACCTAACCACAAAATTATGCACCGGAAAACTCACTTGAAACACACGCATAGCATGTTTTTTTACCTGTACTTCAACAGTCCACACATCTATATTTTAACTTGCAGCGGTTATCATAATAAAATAAAATTCGCAAACTTCAATTATTTTATAATTTTTTCGCCTGTACTTCAAGGGCGAGGCAAGTTCTATATAAATAACTTCCTAGCATTTTTTTTAGGTTTCATGAAAGACGACATAGATCAATATAAAGTTTTAGGTCACCTTAAGATCGTTGTTTTGCTGAAATGAATAAAAGCAAAGGTATAGGTCGA